CAATGTGGTGGTACTCAGACCTACACAAACAGCCTGGTGTATTCCTCATTGTGTGGCTGCTTACTCTCTTGTAATCCCTTCCTTTCCAATCTCTCCGCTCTGTGAGGGAGGGGAAGGAAAAAAAAACGATGGATTTCTGTAGGCAATCTCTCCTGTGCCTGACCCATTTTTTTTGCCCCCTCCCCCAGCAGAGCAGAGAGACTGGAGAGGAAGAGATTACAAGAGAGTAAGCAGCCACACAATGGGGAATACACCAGGCTGTTTGTGTAGTGCACTTGGGGCTGCCAGCACCACTGCATTCCTTTCAATGTGTATTCTCCACTGTATGCCTTCTTCTCTTGTAATCCCTTTCTCTCCAATCTCTCTGCTCTGCAAGGAAGAAAAAAAAGAAAAACAGGACAGGCACAGGACGATGCATACTGACTGCAATGGCGATCACATGACTGAGGGATGCTGCGAAGATCATATATGTGGGCATTGGCTGTAAAGTTATTTTTTCAGCACCATTGTAACTTTGAATGGTCGCTGAACAAGGCAGGCAGTAAGCAAGATTTACCTGTACATTATTCATATGACTATATGTATACATATAAAAAGATACCTAACACAAATGGCTTCCGTCCCAAAAATACCAGACTCTCCTAACCTGTTGACCTACAGGTGGGTGGGAACTGCAGCTGCCGGCATTTCCCATTAGCATGAACAGCACAACTCTAAAATCCCAGCAGAATCCCTGCTGTAAATCCAAATGTGTGCTTCTCAGGCGTCTGCCTGCCCCCTTTTCATGTGTACTTTAACTCCAATCATTCTCTCAACAGTTTCCAACTGATCTTATTTTATACTGAAGTAAGATTGAGATAAGCTGAAATATTACATAGATTAACAGAGATAATTATATATGTTTACTCAGCAGTAAGTCCCAAAGCGTCCAGAGGGGCTTACCATCAAACTGCCTATTTATTTATGTCCCCATATATTTTAAACAAATAAAAAAGTGCCATGATGTTTCAGATAGAGTGAGTGATAAGCCAAGCAGCTAGAGTCTACTCCTCCGTCAACATTTCCAAAGACGAAAAAAAAATCCAGTGCTTAACTCTCACAAACCCACCTTTAAAATCTGCCCTCCATCTGGGTACTTGCGAAGGATTCCCTGCAAATATTTCAGGATAGGCGGAGGTTTCTGTCGAAAGCCCTTCCTGAAAGAGAGTCAAACTTAAGATACCGTCCTTGGAAGATCAATGACCCATGGAGCTTCCAACAGCCAACTTCTAGCCATGCCAGTTCAAACCCACTATGCAGCTATTCCATCCATCTAATGCAAGAATGGCATTTGTGGCCCTGCAGGTGACGCTGAGCAATCATTCTAAGCATCTTTCACTGCTGTTGTCAATGCTGGCTAGAGATGCTGGGACCAACATTTTGAGAATCCCAGGTTTTCCATCATTGTTTCTAAGGGATGGGGGGAGGGTTACTTCTTCTTCTTTTTTTAAAGCAGTATGAGAAGACAGAGAAGCGATACAAATACAACACCCCATAAAATTCTATGAGCAAGCAAAGATTATTCATGATTAAAGCCTTGTCTAGAAATACGTGTAGATTTAAATTTTAAATTATTGGCTTGGTCAATAAGCATGGTTTGCTTAATCGTGATTTACCCAATAAGCACAGCAGCCTGGGTTTACCGTACATATTTAACAGTCAGCTCTGGTTTATACAGTTGCATTCATCCACATTAAGCCACAAATCATATTCAGGCCACAATTAGCCCATCACAACTTCTCTCAGCTTATCTCCTCATAAGGTGATTCTAAGGCTAAAACCAAGAAAAGACCTATGTTCTTTGGGATAAGTCAGTCTGATCCCCCATAAGCTTTCAATGTGGCCTCCAGTGTCCCTCCAAAAATATTGCCAAATTGTAATATTTAATGGGAAGGAAGACAAAAACCATTAAATACTATAGCAGGACACACTCTGAAAAAGAAATGCTTGGTTACTACTGGAGCAGGTCATTTCTTTGCCCTTCTTTAAAACAGCCAGAACAAAACAGTTGTTTTGCTTTAAAAATCAACTCAAGTTTAGTGACTGGATTCCTTAAAGCAACAGATTCTTTCTTTTAGGGCCACACAGTCTGATGCTTTAAGGAACAGCACCAGAGGTGCTGCACCCCCATGAGATCCAAAAACCTTCTTCCAAACCCCTTTTGAACCATGCTTAGCCTTCTTAAATTCCTTGGAAGAGACTGTATTAAATCTTTATTTAGTTCAAATTGTTAGCCTCATTTGAAATTGCTGTTAGTGAAAAGCAGGTTAAAAACATTTATTAATAAATATATACATCCACGTATATAAATAAATTATTTAGAATCAAATTTATGTTGATCCTGGCTCTGCCCACTTTTGGAGGTATAGCCATTGGCCCCCTAAATCTGGGCATTTTAAACTCCTTGCAGAAATTAGGTAAAAAGAAACAGAAAAATATGTCAGAGACTTTGGACCAGCCTATACAATATTGCAGCCCTGATACTTTGGGGAGGATCTGGGGCCAGGAGCCACGTTTCCCTAGGATCTCAGATCAGCCTTGGCTGGGGCGGGGGGGGGGGGGGGGGGGGGGGCCATCTCTCCCCGGTGTGTGAAAGATATGGGAATTCTTTATTTTTTCTTCCTCTTCCATGTGCTTATACCTACACACAGGTTGTGTGTGTCTGTGTGTCCGTGTGTCTGTGTGTGCACCTTTGAGTCAGTTTTTGACTCCTGGTGACTGCCTGGACTAGTCCCTGCAGTTTTCTTGGCAAGGGTTTTCAGAAGTGGCTTGCCACTGCTGGTTTCTAGGGCTGAGTGAGAGTGACTGGCGCAAGGTCACTTAGCTGACTTCGTGCCTAAAGCAGGACTAGACATCATGGACTCCTGGTTTCTAGCCTGGTGCCTTAACCACAACACCAGACTGGCTCATCTATGCATAATACAAGATCTAATTTTTTCCTGGGCTGAGGTGAGAGAGAGTGCCCCAAAGTTACTAGCAAGCTGAGGGCAGACTAGAACCTGGGTCTCCCTGCTCCTAGCCCAACTGTTTCACTATCCCAGCCTGGCTCTTGGGCTAAGAGAGAACAGCCATGCGCCATGGAGCTCCTGCTGCTGAGGGTAGACTAGGACCTGGATCTCCCTTCCCCTAGCCTTCCTCCTGAAATGTGTGTGCACGTACATCATGTAAAATCTCCTATATGGGGATATAATGTAACACCCGTATTTCTCTTGGAATGTGTTATATGCCATTCTGATAGACTTCCACTGCAGTTCAATGCTTCTACCATTACATTATCCCAACTCTCATGTATGTGCCTGTATGTTGGACTTCCATCCCAGCCATACATAATCCTTCTGCCTTCTCTCTCTCTCTCTCTCTCTCACACACACACACAGAGTTCCTTACTTTTTCTTCTCCCTTTGAGACATTCTGCAACCTGCAGTAATAGGAAGAAGAAAATACAGAAAATGAAATACAGGCATAACATAACGACACCAAGGTGAGTGCAAATTAATTCTAGACTGAATTCAACAGAGTGAAAAATTGCCACCGCACTAGCCTGGAACAAGTCAAATTTTAGGAAAGCTGGAAACGATTTGAGGAGAGAAATCCCTTTCTACGTTGAAAATATCTCCTTCCTCCTATTTCCGTCTCAAGTCAAAACTGGTCTTTCCAGCCAAGTCCGTAGACCACTTTTAAAGCCATTATACCGCTGAGATACATTTACAAAACACGGAACTTAGAGCGACTATTCTGAATCAGCTTATTTGCGATTCATCACATGATTCAGCACTACTCCATCACCGGCCTGATGGAGTAGATCCCGTCCATGACAGTCCTCTCCTCCCTCAAACTGGATTCCTCAGATCCAGCGATTTTGCATCCCTATGATGCAGAAACATCAAACGGAGGCACAGATCCTCATTATTCACATATCGATCCGCCTCGCTGCAGCAATGCTATTTCTTGTAGTTTTTCTAACTTAGCCATCTTTTTTTTTCCTTAGTGGGAAAATTAGGGGCACCCTCCAGAAGTTAAGCGAATCTAGAAGGATCTGTGCCACGTTTCTGCCCAAACCATTCCAGTACTGCGATCCAGAGCTACGAACGCATTCTCTGGTTGAACTAATCCTTCACGGGAGATGGGATTAGATGAGGCGGCCCAGACCCAGCCCTCCTTTCCGAACCGTTCCAGCGCCTTTTCTCTTCATCTCTCCCCAAAAACCCGGCATTTTGCTCCCCATCACCTGCACGCCGCTCCCAGTCTTCAGGTTAATTCAGCGATGCCCTGTCGCTTCTCAGCACGAAACGATTCAAGCGGTTCTCCGGACGCTTCTCCGCCCAAGCAGCAGAGTGCCCCCAGGCGAGATGTTTTACAGTTCAATTACTTCCTAAGTCTTCTTGCCGGGGAAATGGAAAGCGAAAGTGATTCTGGCCCGGTGGTGTAATTCACGGGCGTGGCGGTGCTGGAGGAGAACGGAAACAAAACCGAGAGTGAATCAGTCGCAGACGCCGAGCGTGTGAAATTTGGGGAGAAGTTTCGTTTTATTCAGGAGGAAGCGTGGAGGACTGAAATTCTGCTTGTGCCTGAGCAGGCTGTCCACGGAACGGGCTTCTTTACTCAGGTGTAAGTAAGCCCCAGAGCCTTAAATGGGAGTTACTCTAGGTAAGCATGTACAGCATTGCAACCCCCAAAGCGCAATCATATTCAGAGGTAAGGGGCTTACTGCTGGGAAAACACCCATACAGGATTGTGTCCTAGAAGACCAGTGTTCAAGTTTACCTTGGCCTCACCCAAAAGCCATATCTGTCTATTACCGAAGCATCTTGAATCCACCACAGGTGATGGGCACTAGGTTGGGAATGGCCCTGTGGGATAATTCATACTGCCTTCACACAACATGCTAAACTAAAACTGCCTTGATTCATAAGTCTGATTGGATTGCAGGAATGGGTGGTTGAGGCATTCCAGAGCTATGGGTCCCAGCAGCTCCAGCAACATGGGCAATGGAGAGGGATTCTGGAAATTGCATCTGGAGGGCCGCCACTTCCTCGCTTCTAGTGAGGGTTAGGGTTAGATAGAGCTCTATTACGTCTATCCTAGGTTAAAACTCTGCCCATGCTCTTTGGAACTGCAGCAGTGACAGTTGATGTCAGAACATCTGGGAAAGAGGTTCCCAAACAGTGAGGTGTCCCTCTCTTGGGGAAGTACAGAGTCCAGGGGAGGTGTGAAGAACTTCTGAGTTACATTATTACAATAAATCCACATTTCCAAAGTTTCATTGTATTGTTTTCATTGTTCATTTTGGTGTTTGGATTTTTAGGGGAGGTGCGTAATTAAGATTACACTAAAGGGAGGTGGGATGGCAAAAAGTTTAGGAACCCCTGATCTAGAAGATCAGATTGCTGAAAGTTGCTCTACAACTCCCACGAGCAAGTTATCTTTGCTGTTTCTCTAGATAGACATACAATAACTTGGCTTTCCAAGAAAATCCTTCACTTGGTTTTCCTCAGTACCTCTGCCACACAAAATCAACTCAAATTCCAGGAACAGTGAGAACTATGCCAGGAATATTAAAGGACTTCTCCCAAATGTCTTTCAGTAAGAAAATGGCAATGAATTAGCTCAAATTCTCTTCTGACTTTCTCTGCCTGAAAAGTGACGATTTTTCAAATCTTTAGTTTTGTTTCTTTGCTCTACAATTAAGAAATGGAAACCAAAACCAGCTTAGCTTCATTGAGCAAAACTTTTCCACAATCAATCTTTTGCTTTTTCTTAAGGAAAGGAAAGGAAACAAAAGGAAAAAGAGGGAGGGAGAATAGAGGAAAAGTCTTGTAAGATGTTCATAAATCATTCCACCTGGAAATAAATATCTACCACCATCCATGGTTGATCTATTCAGAGATGGAGTCAGATGAAGCAGGAAAAAAATGGGGGTGAAGTGACTAGACCTTTTTCCTCCCCTTTGCAGCAGCTCCTCTCCCATTTAAAGCTCAAAACTTCTTAATGTGTGATGTCATCTCTCGCTCTTGGTTCTTTAATTTCAGTCCCCCCTATATGGCAAAGAACCCTTCATGCTTTGTTTTTCATTACTTTTCATCTGCTGAGCCTGTGACAAATCAAGGTTTTCATACCTTGCAGGTCCTTCCACAATGTTCTTCCAATTTCTTTCCCTTGACTTTTTGTGGTTTGCTAAGAACTTCAGGAGTCTGGAGTTCAAGCTGCATTTAGTTACCTGCAGAACCTGATAAGAGATTAAAAGGGAGGGGGGAGGAAAGGGAGCTGAAACTATCTAAAGAAAGGGGAGAGGTCTGGATTCTTGAAAAACTAGAAGCATGACTTCAATGTTTTTAAAATAATTTTATCTTCTGGCAAACCAAGCTTCTTAGCATGTATGTATGTATGTGTATATGTATATACAGTGGTAACTCAGTTCACGAACTTAATTTGTTCCACGATTCTGGTCGCGAACCAAATTGGTCGCGAACCAAATCAGATTTCCCCATAAGGTTCAGTGTAAATAAGCTTAATCCGTTCTGACCCCTACGAACGTGGTCGTGAACCGAATTGGTCGCCAACCAAATCAAATTTTCCCATAAGGTTCAATGTAAATATGGTTAATCCATTCTGAACC